ACACACACACACACACACACACACACACACACACACACGCCAACTATATGCAATCTATTTTCCCACCTGTCCAAGTGTGAGTGTGATTAACATTCAGTGTTATATTCTTCTCTTTGTTCCTCCCCCCTCCTTCCTTTCACTCCCTTCACCCTCTCTCCCATCCCTCACCCTCCTTCTTACCTGTTCTTGATGACTGCACCTCCAGATTGCCTGTAGGGAGAAGAAGAAGAAGAAGAAGAAGAAGAAGAAAAATCCAATAGACATGTGGTGAGTCACTCCTCACCCCACCCAACTTTCGTTTGGCTTCATGGTCCTTTACATCTTTCCTTCGCTCTCTCGTGTCTTCACTTTTCTCTGAATCAGCTCCCTTTTCAGTTTTGTTTTTTTTTTCCTGGCACGTTTACCGTTCACACTTCTTTTTGAAATGTTCATCGCTCTTCCCTCTTCTGTCTCTTCTCTCTTTGTCTATTTCCTGTTAATCACTCCTCTCTAGTGTCTTCCTGCTGAGTGCAGACATCAAGGTCACTTTGCTATACAGGGCACACTAAACTACAGCTACAGCACACACACACACACACACACACACACACAGCAGAGCAGAGCCAACAGCAACCTCTGAAGAAAGTAAGTGCAGTTTCAGTGCGATGATAAAAAGTGTGACTGATTAAATGAATGATTCATTTTGCAGCAATTCTCAGTGTAGATGTGTAGTTTTCATCAAACTGGCTTGAAATTATACACTATCTTAATGCATTATTGCTTCAAATGCTGAATGAGTACTCCATCAACACTGCGCTCATATCACACCTTCAGACCAACTACTGATAGTTTGAAACAAAGCATCAAAATCAAAGTTGCACAGCCAGAGACATCACCTTTTTTAATTAACACGTTCTTTGTCAAAAAGTGAGACATAATTACCCACAATTCAACATGAAAGCTAACAGTTCAGTCAGAGACATGTTAGTCTGAAAGAAACCAACGTAAGACATGAGACTCAAGCAGAGATGAGGGATGAGGAGCAGTATACAGAGGTATGGTTAACTCACTCCTTTTAAATTCCACACTCAGACTTTTATCCCTTTCTAACTTGCATCCTTCAGTCTGAAATAGGACGGGGCAATGAAACGATATATAATTATGGCAAAAGAATTTGCTTTAATAGAAATACATGAGAACTCCGATGTATAGCAATATAATTCTTGTGTAAGCACAGTGAGGAGCTATACCACAGTTTGATTAATCTCAGATTTGCCAAATGTTCTGGTGTTTGCCGAGTGTATATCATCCCCTCCTCATAAAGTTTAAAATCACAACCTTCACTCAGGGACAAAAATCAGTCGTTAAACTTAACAGAAATAAAAATGTGACATTTATCTTGATTATTATCAATTTAATGAAATGAACATTTTCAATCTCGCTATAACTTTAGCCATATGGCCCAGCCCTACTACGGATAAGACATTAATTTAAAAATGGTCTTTACATGAGTTGCTAATAGAATATACTATTTATATTCCCATTATCATGTTACACAGCAGTCTGATTATGAATCATGTCGACATTACATCTTACAACTCATGTATATTGGAGGGCATGTTTCTTTAAGCAGTATTTTAATGTCGCAAAACGCTGTGAAAACTCAAATAGTTCGTTATCATGTGATTATTGTGTATTCATTTCTATATAATGTGACTAAGATCAGAATACTCCATATATCTAAATTTGATCATTGATTATTTTCCGAGCATGACCTCAGGTGAGGGCATCAGGAAATGCTGTTTAGATGACAGTGTCTTACTCAGACTGTCTTAATCAGGTTAATAAAGCACTATTGGTCCATGTCTATTGACTCAAGTGACTTGACGTTATTTTCTAGATTTCACACAGCCGAACCTCTGGAGACACAAAAGGCTTTAAACAGCTGTTTTCACCTAATACAACTTTGATGTTTACAACTTAGAGGAGTTTGCCTTCTATAGGCTAAACATGTCTCCTGATGGAAGCCATAAGAAGAAGTATGTCTTACAATAAAGTCAGTTATTAAGACTGCAACACTGTTCTGACACTTTGATGCAGTTTTAACACTAAAAAAACGACATTTAATATAAATTATGAAACAACTACTGAAGAGAATCTTGTTTGGTTTGTTGAAAAACAGACAAACCATAAAACTTATTCAGGGGCTCATCCATTATGCACCATAAACTGGATAATACTGTAAAAAAACACAGTTCAAATAATTCAAAAAGATTTGCACCACAAATCCAATCAGTTCCTCTCCTCGAGGCCTAAACTTCAGCCAAAGTTTACTGAAATCTGTAAAACAGTTTCTGGGCTATCAGCTAATTAAGAGACAAAAAGAAAATAAACTCAGGGGACTAAAAGTCTCTTTGGTGTAATTATTGAAAAACAATGCACCACAACAAGACTGTTGAGGTACAAACAAAGCATATAATCATCTTAGATTAGAGCAAAAGCAAAAAGAGGTTTTAAAGGATTCAACTTTTTGACAAGACACTCAAACAAAAAGAAGATTATTTATGGTTTAATGTCCTTAGAAGCTGGATTAAAACTTGGGTCGGGGGATAAATGCCCGACCCAGTAGATTCTGGTGCGGTCTGACAGCTTGAGCGTGGCGTCTTCGAAACTGCCTAAACCAGTTGTGCAACCTCGCAGTGCCATCACTGGACAATGACATTTAAAGGATGTGATCAGGGCGTCAATATGTGGGCCACGCTGCACTCATGTGCATTAATGTGTCACTGTGAATGAGCTGCTCACCCTCTGCAGGACAGAATATGTTTCCTTACAGCTCAGAGCCCGCGACTGGCTGTGCATGTGACCGTACTTTATGGCCGCATCACAGGTGCGTCATCGGGACTTTTCCTCACCTCACTTCACCTTGCTATAGTGCTGCGCCCGTGATCCTTCCTGCAGTTTACAATAAACCAATGAAGAGAGGAGCAGGGAAGAGGCCTGTCCAAAACAATAGCAGGTTAGATTGACACAAGCCAGTCAGACACTGTTCAACCAGAGTGGGATGCTGCAGTGAGGAGCAACACTTAATTTCTAAATCAAAGTTTGAAGTGTAGCTACAATGGAAAGGCAGCCATTGGATGCAAATATAGGCCCACCTTCTGTTTGCATATAAATAGTCATAAGGTGGGAAAATAAACACTCA